AATGGCAAAACCTTTGTAGGGGCCAAACGAGCAACCGAAAAGGAGTTTATCGAATTTCTGAAGGAGGTATCTCAAGATGTCATCCAGAAATACTCACCACAAGGCATCAACTGGGAATTTATTCCGCCAGGAGCCCCACATGGGCGGTTTGTGGGAGTCCGCAGTCAAAAGTTTCAAAATGCATCTCAAAAGGACTGCTGGACCCAGCAAATTCACATTTGAAGAGTTCACCACCCTGTTAGTCAGAACAGAGGCCGTATTAAACTCCCGGCCAATCTCTGCTCTATCCCAAGACCCCACAGACCTCACAGCGCTTACGCCTGGCCACTTTTTACGAGGCGCCCCCCTCTTAGCACTCCCTGAAGTCGACCACAGCCATCTGCCCCTCCTTAATAGGTGGGAAAAAGTGAAGGTGTTACATCACGAGTTTAGTCGAAGGTGGAAAGAGGATTATATCAAGGATTTACAGAAGAGTTATAGATGGAAAAATACCCAGGCAGAGCCGAAAGTCGGCGATTGCGTTCTTATTGTTAACAATACTATACCTCCCATTGAATGGCGTTTAGGCCGTATCGAAAGGTCACACCCCGCCAGAGACGGACATATTCGAGTTGTCGATGTGCGCACCCAATCTGGCACCCTTACTCGCCCCATAGTTAAAATATGCCCGTTTCCAATGGGTGACGCCCCTCTGACTTCTCCAAATGCGACATAATTAAAGCCTTTAAGCACTTTCATGACAACAGACTCTCTTAGCTCATATGTATTTAAAAACCTGTAAATGAATGAAATATTCTGATCCCACGTTTCTTCAATTGTCTTGTAGACTCCCCACTGATAGGCTAACTTCCACGGCTTACTTTCAGATGGATACTTGCAGCAGCAGTGGCACTCCGAAACCAGCACCTCGAACATCGCTACAGCCTAAGCAACCGCAGTGGTCCGAAGTAGGCATGACGACTGACACAACTCCAGCGGCGCAGCCAGAAGAGGGAACCACCGATTTCAATCGATGCCGTCTGTGCGCACAAAATCACGCGTTGCGGGTATGCCAAGTGTTTCGCGCAATGCAGCCGACCCAACGTTATCTGGTCGCACGTGCACACAAATTTTGCACCAACTGCCTCGCCTTATCGCATCACAGCAAGGACTGTCCCTCCGCTGGAATCTGCAGGCTATGTGGTCAGCGTCACCGTACCCTACTTCACGGGAAGACGGCACTCAGCAAAAACTCTCTGCAACACCACGCTCCAGCATCGCGCAAAAGGCCTTCCGCACATCGTCCCCACCGTCTACGCCGTACTGAACTCAGCTCTAACAAGCACAAGCACCCGCATATGGGGCAAAGAGCGAAGAAAATCAATACCATCACCCAGGGAATCCGCATCACCAAGGCGAATGGAAAGCTGTCCAGGAAATTGCTCCGGGATGCAATACGTAAACTGCGGGAGCTAGAGAACAGTATAGTCGCTTAGCGCGCCTAGGTGCGGGAGAATAGAAACGTCTGTCGTTTAATACCTTGCAACGTATATGTTTATTACCTGAATTAATGCGAATTTTCTTCAACAATTGA